AGATATGTAGAAAAAAATGGACAGAAAATAGGAGGCGTAAGGCGACGGACCTGGCTAAACTTGGTCTGAAGCTAATTGTTGACCTCATCAAAGGCGCGGCGGAGGGTGGCGAACTTCTTGCGAGCCTAGTCGGAGACAAGAAGCTTCGCCATAGCTCCGCCAGAGCTTCCTTCCGATTTCCAACGCGTTCTTGGCGGCCATTGAAATCCGATGTCAGGGCTCGAAATCGCTATCCCGACGGTGAGATTTAACAGGAGAGCGGCGATTGGAGGATTTCTCTCATTTTTCACTCCGGCAATCGGTCGAGGAGATCAAAATATAGTTGCAAATTAGGGTTCAAAAAAATCTTGAGGAATTAAAAAAAAAAATCGATTCATATAAATCGAAATGCAATTTAATAAGATTTGGTGGTTTATTTGAGATTGATAAGTCTATTTAAGCCAAATTTATAAGATGTGAAAAGTTCAAACACCTTTTCATAAATTAATTCATATTTTATTATGTTTTCTTTTAATTTTTTTAAGTAAGGGTATTTTTGTATTTTTAACATACATTTATTCGATTTTTTATTTTCTTAAATAAGTAAAAGGACACGTGTCAATTACTTAAGAGGTACCTGTTGTTAGGTAAGTACAAGCCAAAGTACAAGGGTACCTGACTGTAGAAAAGCCCAAGTTAGTATTTAAAAAAAATCAGAAATTCTTTTAACATCAACTCGGCTACTACAATTGTTCTAATTAGATGTTTTTACTTTTAAATAAAATAAATTACAATTCATTTAATAATCAAAATATACAATATTTTTATTCTATTATTTTTATTTTTTTTATATATAAATATAACACAAAACTAATCTAATTATACAATCATCAATATTTTATTTGCGCAAGAACGGGTTGTAACATTTTCATTTTCACAAATTAAAGAATTTTTTTAACATAAATAAGATTATAAAATTGCATATTTTTTTATAAAAAGAAATTACGACTGGTTAAATAATAAAAATAACTTTAGTATTTAAAAACAATTTGAAGCCTTTTGAACATCAAAATGGCTAATACCATTAAATTAATGAATTCTTTATTTTTTTTTTAAAAAAATATCAATTCCTAAAGTTGCGGTTGATTTAATTTTCAAAAAGAAATTTTTTTGATAACAGAAAATCGTGAATCACACTGCAGCCTAAATTAGTGGATTTGTTCCATTATGTTCTAGAAATTTCGATCATTGAATATAATTTAAATTTCAAAATCCTTTCTCATTTTTGATTTATTGAATCGAGACTTTCCGGTAAAAGTACTTTTGTTTTCTTACCACTTTTTATAAGAAATAAAATAGCCCTTTACTTTACCCCGGTCTCGCATCTTCAAACCCGCGGACCAAGCGTTCAATTCAAGTATCGATTGTGTTTTTTATTCCAAACAATCAGATTGCCGAAAAAATTACCTTCTTGAATTGAAAATTTGAAATTCAAAATCCCTTCTCATTTTAGTTGCCATAATATTGGGCTTAATTAAAATTTTCTTCCTAATATAAAGGATTTTGTTCAAACTGAAAAAAAAAATCTAATCACATGCTTCTATCCTTGAACGAATAACCTTAAATGAAGGATTTTGTGCCACTTTAAAATTAACAAACCTCTTGAAAATTACAAAATCATAATGCATTTCAAAATTTTTGGTTTCATTTTGCACGAAATTCAAAATGGTTTAAGAATTTCAAATCAATTTAAATTTATCTCTTTAATTTTTTTCATAAGTTTCAAAAATTTACAATAATTAAGTCAAATTACAAATGTATTGTTTCAAAAATCAAGAGGATAGTTTTGAAAATAGACAATTTTTTTTTTTTTAAAAAAAAATTGTCTTAGTCTTCATTCAATATAAAATAAAGCTAATATGTTAGGAGTTTTTAATTGTTTAAACATACAAATTTTATGTTCTCTTGAACATGCTAATTTTATATTGTTTATAATAAAATTATATACTATAAATTATATGACAAGTTAACTCCACATCGTTAATTTAAAATTATTATTTAATATCGTATCTTTTTTTTGGCTCTTTTAAGAGAGGATTAATAGTGGTTCCCCACTTCTTGCATTGAGTGACTAGAGATCGATACTTATTTATAATAAATATTTAATATTGTCTATCCGTGCATCGCACGGGATACACACTAGTGAAAAATAATGGAAGTTTTATATTATATTGATGTAATATACA